CCCGAAACGTCAGGACGGTGTTTCTCGACATGTGGAGGAGCATATGCAGGAGAACATCTCTTGTCTGGTTACCCTGTGCGGGCGGAAGCTGGAGACGGCAGCGTCCGAGGTGAGTGAGAGGGATACCAACAGGAAATTGCTAAACTTGGACAGGAGAAAGTTTATCAGGAAATGACATCAGAGGCCTCAGAGGACTGTAATACGGCAGACAGGAACCAGGATGTGGAGGTTAAGAGCAGTCACTCCGCTATCGCTAGAGTGGGCATGGGCCGTCAGAACAGAGCTCACCTACGTTCAAATCTGCAGCACACACGAGCATGTCCTGCACAGCTGCACCAATGCCAAGGGCTGGGTAAAAACCACGATAACAGCAAGGCACAAGCAGGCCTATTTCAAAACCCCTCTTTGGGAAAGGACCAAAGATTATAACTTAGGAAGTGTGGGAGCATCTATGTGCTCTTGTTATACTATTGCTGCATTTTAACATGTCCTCGGAACAAATTCCAAATAGTCTGAAGGCAGGAGAGTAATGTGAGAGAGAAGGGAATGTACTGAGAGCATGTTCCCAGCGGAAGTGCTGAGTGAGAAATGCAAACATCCACAGCAACAGCGGGGGCTAAGAAAATGTGCCCATGTGACACAGTCAGCCCAAACCCTCCTGGACCCTTTAACTTTGAGAGCCAAAGACACTCAAGAAGGAATTTTTAAGGGAGAAATTTTCAGAGAAAAGGCCAGAGAAACTGAACATTGATACATGGTGATCAAGATGCCAAAAGCAACAAAAGTATTTTAAACAGCCATGATGCCTTTTAACAGCAGCTTCATCTATGGTCAGAGAAAATGTGGCTGTTGTAGCCCGTAGAAAGTCAAGGCCTTCCTGTGGCCCAAGGCTACACCAGAGATCACAGGCACAGGTAGGTGAGCAGCCACACCTGGTTGATACATTAGCCAATAAAAAACGGAGATCTCCAAATTTCAGAACTGTGGCAGTTCCCTCCACCACCCCCCCTTAAAAAACAAAATTAATTCAGTTTTCACTGCAGGGTTTCCTAACAGGAATCCAGAGCTAAAATCTTCATTTAAAACTTGACCCACTAGGGGCACCTGGGTGGCTCAATGGATTGAGCGTCCAACTTCAGCTCAGGTCATGATCTCACGGGTCGTGGGTACAAGCCCCATGTGGGGCTTTGTGCTAACAGCTCAGAGCCTGTAGCCTGCTTCATGAAGATCCTGCCTCTCCCCCCCCCCTCTCTCTCTCCTCCTCCTCCTCCCCAGCTCATGCTCTGTCTCTGTCTCTCAAAAATAAATAAATGTCAAAAAATTTTTAACAAAAAACAACTTGACCCGCTAAAACACGGGCAGTAGAAAAATGAAAAGCTATCATTACTTCTATCTAGTAGCCTTTTTGCAAAGTGCCAGGGGAAACCATATGGCCTCAGCCTGTCCGTCTAAAGAGAAGGTGGGGAGAAGGAGGGGCTGGGTGTGGCAAAGAGGATGTGCAGGTGACAGCCACCAGTACAAGTGCATTTGACTAAACTCTTGCATGAAGGTGACCATTAAAAAGGGCGTGCTGATTTCAGGTACTCACCGATGTGGGAGAGTCAAGTGAAATAGCATATATTTTAGAGTCAGACAGACTCTGCTGAACTCCTCTGCAAAATGGAGAGAATCACATTACCTACTTCAAAGGTGGCCGTGAAGATTAAATAAAATAACGTGTGAAAAGTGCTTAACAGGAATTCTGGTAAAGAGTAAGCACTACATAAATGTTATGATGCGCGCGCACGTGTGTATGTGTGTGTGTGTGTGTATGTGTGTGTGTGAAGTGCCTAACAAGTAGTATATGGTTACCATTACTACCGCAAAGCTGCTCATTACAGGGCAGGCAGCTGCATGGGCTGTCTCTATCCCTCCAATATCAACAAGCAAATGTCAAGAGAAAGGCTGTAACACTGGGAACCCCCACAGAGAAAGGCATAAACCTCCCTTACTTTTCCCTTTACTCCGAAAACCACTGTATTTTACGTCTCTCAAATTCTCCAGGAGAATTTGAAAAACAATCCAAGAGACCCACAGACTCCATCTTGGCCAGGCTACCCTGGGAGTTAACAGAACCCAAGCACGAAGATCAGGTTCCAGGGAAGGGACTCGGGCCTGTCTCCCGCTCCGCCCACAGAAGCACCACAATGGGGGAGAGAGAGCCCCTTTGCAAGTGGATGGCCAATTTTAAGTCCTAGCTGAGGGGACAGCAAATCCTGGCCTTCGCCCTTTAACTAGTGTTTCTCAAGAGCGTGAGGACAAGAGGACCTAGCTTCCCACCCTCTGTATCTCAGCTGCCAGCCTCTGTGGGCAGAAAGGCACACCACAGGCCCAACGCTGAAAGCCTTTTGCCCACACTGGGCAGTGTTAGAGGAGCTCCTGCCTCAGCAGGCTTTGACCTCCACAGTGAAAGAGCTCGATTCAGCTTTTAATCCTCTGCAAGTCACTTCAGTCAACAGAGAAGAGGCTTTCACAAAGCAGATAAATTATAAAGCCTAAAAGGTTGGATGGGCTTCACGGCAGGGGCCAGGGGAGGGGAAAGCAGAGCAACCCAAGATTCGGAATAAAGGCCAACGGAAGTCTTCCAGTTATAGTCCCGCTGCACCAACCACAGGCCTCCTGAGAACAGGAAGGAAGGGACTCCATCCCTCCCACCTCTCAGCTGCCCTATCTCCCCACCCTGTCCAATTCCCGGGCTCAGTGATGGGCTTCTACTGGGCAGGGCTAGAATTCTTCTCTCCCCATAGGCTGTCACACTATAATATTTGCTCTGCTTCCTTCCTTTCCAACGCCTAACAGATTAGATTGCAGGCGTCCTATCCAGCTCACTAAGACAGATGGAAAACTGAAAGCCAGGCAACCCGGACTGCTCACGGTAGGAAGACAGAAGAGGTGAGGAAGTCCAGTGTGCCAGCACCCAGGCCCTCTTTTCCAAGCGCTGGGACTATACGGGCCAGAGTAAGCCACAGTAACTTCAGTGAATCAGGAGTATCTACTGTGAGTATCTCTGTGGCGCACAGCAAGATCTAACTTGAGACACTCCAGCCTTTTGACTGGGGCATCCCCCACCTGTCCACCGGCCTCCTGAAGACAGGAAATCAATGAAGTGCCAGCTGGATGCACACAATGAAGACCATGCTCCTGCTGTTCGGAGCTACTTCACAGCGTTCCAGCACTTTCAGCAAACACCCAGCAGGCAAGCAGGAGGGCTGGCTGTTCGGGAGGATATGACTGATAGGACTAATACTTCTCCCGTCCCACTTTTGCAGAATCTCTCTATAGGTAGGCACCAACCAAAACCTGCATGCCTCCAGGATTTTTTTTAATGTTGCTAAAATACCAAGCGCAATATGGTTCAGCTCACGAGGATGACATGATGGGACACGCAGGCCCTACTTCCTTATACAAAAGAGAGAAGAAAGCACCGACAAGGGAAAAGACAGGCTTGCAAACTCTACCAAGGAGCAGCTGGTTTACAAATCAATACCTAGGTGATTACCCCCATCTGTGAGGTAAGCAAGGCTCCCATCGTTAACTGGCTGGAACACCACCTGGGGCGCGACAGGCACCCTGTAGAAAGTGAGGCTCACAAACAGGAGACAAGTTCGAAAGGCAACATCCAGAGGAAACCCTCACGCACTAGCTTGGTGAACCAAATCTCTACAGGATTGAGGTACTACCACACTGTTCTTTTCCCTTCCAACTGGACAGGGGCAAGCAATTCATGTACCTGCAGCCATTCATTCATTCATTCATTCATTCAACAAACACTTTGCTTAGCACCTAGGAGATGTTATACATAGTGTCTAGATTACAAACTAGACTTTGCTGTGGCAAAAGTCATTGTGCGTTCAACGGGCACACATGGAGAGGACTAGTATCTGAAATGAGGAGGCTTTTTGAAAAGCCTCGTTCCTTAAAGCACGACGGATCTCTATTTTAGGAACTCATGTACAGCGAGGGCCTCCGTCAGACTGTAAGCTCCCTGAAGACAGAGGCTGTGTTTAGTTCCTCACTGCCTTTCATATCCTTACTATCCATTAAATGTCAATGGAATGCAACCGTGAAACAGAACACAAACACTTCTATTCTTTCAAGACTTTTGGCTTTACGGTTTCTGAAGGCTTTGACACCGAACAAAGAAAAACGATGAAGCTCCAAAAAGGAGGTTTAAAGGGGGCTGACTTAGATATATTAAGAACATGAGTACAATTTTGGAGCTTCAGCTCCAGTGCAAACCACCTCTCAGCGGGCCGAGGTGCCTTCAAGAGCCGCAGCTGGCGACCCCATAAAATGCTTTCTCTCCCCTCCCTCTTTTCTGCTGTTCACTCTTCTCTGAAAAACCCCATTTGGAGTCCGAAAGAAAGAAAGAGGAGGAACAGGAGACGGAGTTAGAAGGGGAAGATTCGGCTTGAACCCAAACTCACTAAGAAGGAAGGAAACTCTCTGGCAAAAGGCTGGGGGTGTGGGGGAGGACCGGCCTGGGGGAGGAGACGCCTAAGGCCCAAGTGGAGGTGGCCCTGGCGCGCCACTTCTATGTCTGGAGATGCCTGTACAATTTTCCTTCCTGCACCGCTTTTTCCCCCCTCCTTTTTCTGTTATTGGGGAGGGGGGAGGGGTATGTATGTATTTTTTGTTGTTGTTGTTAATTTGATGAAGTAACAGTCTTCAGAACTAGAGCAGAAAAGGGAAGCGTGTAAGGTGAGGAAGAAGTTAGTGGGAGCCAGAGACAGCTCTCTGGAGGGTGCTTTCCCAATCTGGCACCGAACTTGTATCTTAGGACAGTTTTCCTTCAAGTCTCCCCCACAGCCTGGAGTTCCAGAAGCCCGAGGGCCCGAGCTGGACCCGGTGGAAAGGAAGGGATCTCCTTAGGGGAGCACCCTAGGCCTGTCACGTAATAAGGTAATAGGGGAAGAGAAAAAATGAGGCTCCTTGGCCCAGTCCGAGCCCACGGGACTTGCCTGGGACGTTCTCCGCTCTCCTCCCCTACCCGCAGCCCGGGTAGTCGTTGCGAGGCCGGTGCTCCAGCGCCAGAACCCGCAGAGAAGTTTCGCCGCTGCAAACGTGAGAAAATGCAGCTCAGCAGAACACCCGCCCCCCCTTCCCGCGGCCCCACCCCCGCAGCCCGACCCCTGGTGGTGGCGACCTTGGCCACCCCGGACGCTCCAGAAAAATGGAGGAGGGGCCGCCATCCGGGATTTCCCGGGGGCTACCGGAGGTGCCCACGGGCCACGGCGACCTTTCCCTTCGCCGTCAGCCACCAGGGCAGGCGCACCCAGCCCCCGCCTGCGCGCCCTCTGCGCCCCCGCCCGCGTTCCCCTGCGCCCCCTGCCTCCCAGCCTCGCCGGCCCCCGCGCGCCCCTCTGCGCCTCTCTGCTCCCCGGCCCGCCAGGGCGCCGCACTTACCCCGCCGTGCGGCGGCCGGGGCTCGGGCAGGGTGGGTTACATCGGGTGGAACGCGTCTCTCCGGCCGGCCCGGCCGTCGCTCTCGGGGGATTTCTTTATCTCGCTGCCAAACTCTCGGTGCTTTTCGCTCCTCTCGCTCTTCTACCCCCCACCCCCACCCCTCCTTCTCTCTTGTCTCTCGCGTCTCTTTTTTCCGGGTTAATTACGTTTCGCATTAAAGCAAAACCCAGCCCCGGATGTGAGTACAATGCTCCGCCGAGCCCGCCGGGGGAGGAGAGGGGTGCCGGGGCGCCGTGGGGTGGGAGGGGGCGCGGCCGCGCGCCGCGGGCTGCGCGGAGGAGGCGGGGGCGGGGCGTCCCGGAGACGGCCCCGGTGGCGGCGGGCCAGGCGCGGGCCGGGACCCCCTCGCCGGGGTCGGCTGCCGCGCAGGTGGGACGCGGGCCGCGGAGACTGCCGCGCGGAGGAGGCCTGCCTCGGAAGCCAAGCCCGGGGCAGCAGGTGTCCGGAGCCGGAAAGGGGCCCCGGAGCTGAGGGCATCCTTGAAGCAGGGAGGCGAGGCGGAACGCGGGCTCTCTCTGGAACCCCATTTCTTCTTCCTAGAGCCCCACCCCTCGACTTCAGCCGGGTCTCCCTCGGATGGGGAGCCCTTAGCCTTTCTGGGGCCTCAGGGTGAAAGTTTAGGGTTGGGACCAGGAGAAGCAGCGATTCTCCTGGGTTGTCATGAATGTGCCAGAAGAGCCCACTGGCACCGGACGTTGTAACGAGGGGTATGGGGACTTTCTTTGAGTGTGACGACGCAAAGACGCCTTTCCTGCCCTCAGAGCGGGAGGGTGCTCTGGAAAGAAAAAAAAAAAAAAAAGGGAAACAGACAAGCATGCATTAAGTAAATAATGCCAAAGGGAACCTAAGAAAATTACTGTGTGCCGGTGCAGCCCCTGCATTATCTCATTTAATCCACACGGCAACCCTACGGATAGCAATCCCGTTCACGATGAGGAAACCGAGACTCAGTTAAGTAATCTGCCCTGGGTCCCACAGTTAATCAATGGCAGGTCTGTCAGGTTCTGACGCCGGCCTCCCACGTGGGGAAGTCATTTACATACACAGAAAGTGAGGCGCAAAACGCCGGAAAGACGGACACCTAGTGGATTCACCCTCGGGATGGAGGACGGAGAGATGCTGTCTCTGGCGTGTTGAGGCTTTGAGGGAGAAGCGGACAACGGAAGAGCCTCAGGAGGCTTGGGCGCAGGGGACTGGCTGTGCGGGAGGAACGGAAAGGCTGGTCCACACCCCCCTGTTCTGGGGGAAAGTCATGCTAAAAGGTCTCCAGGAGCTGAGGCAACAAAGCCTGGGAGCAGGGGACCTGGAGCCGGAGGCAGGTAGCAGCACACACCCCGAAAGCACCAGTGATGAAACCACACAAGTTTCCTCTTCCATTTTGATTGCCAAAGCAAAAATGAGCCACCCGCTCTCTCAGGTGTGAAAAAAAAAAAAAAAAAAGCTTGATGCTTTAGAGCATTTTGCTTCGAATGAGGAAGGAAAGGGGGACACAAGAAAAAAAAAACATTTCCTTTGAAATAAATACATCAACGTCAAATTTTTTCTGCTCCTGAAAGTTTTTGCTAGTCATAAGTTTCAGGCAGCATAACGTCTTAAGGAGCATGTTCTCTGGAACCAGATGGACTGGGTTTGAATCCCAGCTCTGCCTGCCATTTATTAGCTTTGATCCCTGGGCAAATGACATTTCTGTACCCCAGTTCCTGTCTGGGTCGTTACGAAAAGTAAACAGAGTTAACTTTTACACTGTTTAGATCACTGAGGTACGTGAAGTAGGTGCTATGTAAATGTTTTTTTATTATTTAAAAATTAGATTATGGTTTTCATTGTGAAAAGGAATAAAATCCCACCCGGCTCCAAGCAAATCTGACTGGAACTGACAGTTTCCAGTATGAGCAATGAGGTAAAAGTCTCAGATTCCATGGTATGGTTCATATTAAAACCCATAAAACTCTACTCCCCATGGAGCCTGCCTGAGTCACTCAATCACAGAGCCACAAATATTTTCTGCGCACTACTGTGTTGGATGCCTGGGAAGCAAAGGGAGCCAAAGGCCTTGGGTCTCATTAGGAGGAGACAAGTGTCACTGGAAAGCTGAGGTAGCCTTGTACCCCTCCTGGAAGCGCCATGAAAATGGCACAGAGAATAAGGACCGTGTCTTTAGAGGAACAAGACATCTAGGGGGAAAGGTAAGAAGGGGACTTGTATCAAAAAGGAGATGGACTTGGGGCGCCTGGGTGGCTTAGTCGGTTACACGTCCGACTTTCGCTTAGGTCGTGATCTCGCGGTTTGTGGGTTCGAGCCCTGCGTCGGGCTCTGTGCTGACTGCCAGCTCAGAGCCTGGAGCCTGTTTCAGAGTCTGTGACTCCCTCTCTCTCTGACCCTCCCCTGCTCACGCTGTCTCTCTCTCTCTCCTAGAAATAAATAAAACATTAAAAAAAAAAAGAAAAGAAAAGGAGATCGACTTTGAAATGAGCCTGGAAAGATGGGTACAATTTTCCTGGATGGGAGCAAGAATACACTGACCTAGAACGAGGGTCATCGGTGCACTTTGGGTGATGCTCATGTTTCACTGGGAGCCCCATTTACCACATTTGCCCCTGGCCAGGACCTAGCCCCAGTTAGGCTACAATTTCTGCCCTGATTCCACTCCCTTATACCTAGGTGTCTGGGTGCTTCCTCAGCGGACTCCCTCCACCTCCTCCGTAGTGGGCACCACAAAGCAGGTGTCAGTTGAATCTGTGCCCTCCTGTAGCCCCTTTGCCATCTCTTGACCTGGACATTTAAAAAATACTTCCATTACCTGATTTTATTCTTTTTTATTTTTTTTTCAGTGCAATAAATAGTCCTGATGTCTAAAATATAACTGCCTGTGGGGAAAGGAATGTCAAGAAAGGACCTTTCACATCAGCTGTTTCAGTCCCCTCATGGTGTTTGCAAGATGAGAGTCAACAATTTGCTCAAGGTTTTTCAGCTAATTAGTAGCACAGTTGGTTCTAGAACCCAGGGTTGACCACCACCAGAATCTTCTATTATTAGTATAGGAACCTTTCCATGAAGATGGAGACTTCTGGCCCAGAACCCAAGAATCTGTAAACAGTACCCTTATACTCTAGCCATTTATTTATGTATTTTCTATTTATTTTCAATCTTAATGTCTGGGTAACTAGACGGCCTAATAACCTTCAGTGGTGCACCAGTACACCCCCTGGGCAAATGCACTATTCTCTGTCCTTAAAGATACACATCATATAAGGTACCAGACTGCAGCCAGGGCCCATTAGTTCCTTTGGGGAATGTGTGAGACTCAAAGAGCCAAGGACATTGGTTGATCCTGGTTCAGGCCAGTTAATTTTGCACGGAGATAAATTTCTTCAAGGCCATAACACCTCTAATGCTAGTTGGTCATTTCATAAATAGTTACTATTTGTTTCCATAGAGAAGTATCACCCATTTCCGGAAAGATTACTCAAACTAACTGTTGTTCTATTCAGTCCTAATCATTCAACAAACAATTATCTGAACCTATTACCATTTTTACTCCCACCGTGTATATTGCATTTACTTATTATCCAGGTACTTGCTAAATGCTAATTGTTTCACCTGGATTATCTCACTTGAGTCTTAACTGGGAGCAAGGTTCTATTATGTTCTCATAGATAAGATGACTAAGGCATAGAGACCCAGCCTAGATACAAACCTGTGCAGCCTGAACCCAGAGCCGGCCCTCTTAATCACAGAGTTTGTGAAGGACAGAAAGACATAACACAAAACTCTTTCCTATCCACATTGTCGATAACTGGCATCATTTAGAACCTCCGTTCCATTTCACCTAGTAATTTCGTATCCAAGGATATGCGGTACAGAAAGTCATCTGGAGATATATACAGTATATATGGAGTATATGTGTATGTGTACATATGTCATGTATCCATATGAAATATATACATAAATACTCACTGCAATATTGTTCATAATGTTGAAAATTGGAAATCACCCTCATGCACATCAACATGGATTGAACAGGTAAATACTGGTACATCCATACGATCCAATGCTATGTAGCTGTTAAAAAAGAATGAGATGTGGGGTACCTGGATGGCTCAGTCGGTTAAGTGACTGACTTTGGCTCAGGTCATGATCTCACAGTTTGTGAGTTCGAGCCCTGCATTGGGCTTTGTGCTGACAGCTCAGAGCCTGGAGCCTCCTTCAGGCTCTGTGTCTCTCCCCCTCTCTGCCCCTCCCATGCTCATGCTCTGTCTCTCCCTGTCTCTCAATAATAAAAATGTTTAAAAAAAATTTTTTTAAATAATGAGACGTAACTCTTTATTAAAAAAATTAAAAATACTAAATATTTCAAGTGGAAAAAAGGTACAGAGCTGTCTGTATGATATAGTCCTATTTCTGTAAATAAAAATTACATATTTATTATATGAAAAATGTGTAGAAGACTACATTCCAAACTGTTAACCACAGTTCTCTTAGGGTGGGAGAGGAGGGATTATAATAGTTTATTTCACTTTCTAAAAGATATATTTCTGTAATGGTTAATTTTTTGCAATAAGCATGCATACATTTATTTGGTTGTCCAAAAAACAACCAAATAGTGATTTAAGTTTTTAATAAAAAAAATTTTTAAGCTCTATGAGAAAGCATATTGTAGCACTCAAGGAACCCATCCTTGAGGTTGGGAGGAAATATAGAGAAATCTTTATTTCTAAGGAGGGGATGAATATACAGGGAGACAGTATAACATGTACAGAAATAACTATTATAAAAGCCAGAAACTCATAGGCAGAGATTGATGAGGAGAGAGAAAATTCTGTGGGAAAAATCACTGCCAGCTGGGGTTGAGAGATGCAGGAGGAAATGTGTAGAGGAGATGGCACTATGGAAGGACCTTGAAAGAAAAGCAAGATGTAGAAGGCGGAGAGGGGGTGAGAACAGGTGGACCCTAGATAAAGAATGCATCAAGGGCAAGGCCCAGAGGCCAGAATGCATGGGATCCATTTGGGGAAATACGGGCAGTCTAGTTCAGCTGGAACACAGTAGGGAGATGAAGGATTTTCATGGGGAACAAAGTGGGAAATAAAGGTGTCTGGAGGGTCTTTATTGATAAACTAATGAGTTGTATTTATTATTTTAGGCTTCAAGAGCCCCTGAAGGTTTTTGAGCCAGGACGTGACAGAATTAGCAGTGAATAAGC